ACAAAGTGTTCTCATGTTAAGGAAAGCCTTGAGTAGAGGAAGTCTGTATGCTATCTTAGTACTTAACATATAAATATATGTACACTGGCCTCTATCCCTTTCATTATAAATTAATATATTTACATATATGCATGCCTATTGCTATACCTCTCTATATAGTGTTATTCTAATGGAATCATCCCTACATAACTGGTATGACTACCACTTGGTCATGATGTATTCTTTTAAAAATATTATTGGAATCTATGGGCTAGGGTTTCGTTGAGAATGTTTGCATCTATGTTCACGAGGGCTGTCGATCTATAAATCTCTATTCTGGTGATGTCTTTGCCTGGTTTTGGTATTAAGATTAGGCTGGCTTCCTAAAATGAGACATTCAGATTTTCTATTTTGAGGTATTTCAAGTACGGATGTGATGAGACCTAGCATGCCAAATCTCGTTGGCAGCACAATCTTCATGTTTTCCAGTATGATCCTGGATAGGCTGAGAGACTGAGAATATTTGCACACGATCATGCCTCCAAAGCATCCAAATGGCATTGTCATTTTTTCATCGAAGGTGATGTGGATGTGACGCAGGCCCTACTCAACCCAGACTAGTGATGTGAGTTACCTCTAACAATCAGGCAAGGTCTTATTCCTCAGACAAAGCTCTAGGACAACAAAGATGCAGACAGATTAGGTGTGGTTACAAGAAGAAATACACTAGTTCTCCTCTCTGGATCAGATTTCTAAGACTATTGTGGGGACTCTCTGTAACATGTTCCAGAAGTTCAATTTGGTCAGATTATACAGGCTAGAGGATCAAGATCAGATAGTCTGGCCCACACTAACTAAACCCCCAAAGACTGAAATAAATAAGAAGTAAAGCTATCAACTGTTTTCACGCCAGCACATTCCATCCCTATGATACTAGCATGAGAGGTCAAACTATAACAGACACTTGCTGGTGAATAGGCACGAGGTCCAGAGGAATGGGCTGTATGACCTCAATGGCCCAGAACACTGAGCTGTGATGGCCTGAGTTCCTCAATGACATGGCAGAAAGTCCCTGTTCACTGAGAAAGTGCTACAACCCAGAAGGTAGAGGGGGGAGAAGGAGGTAGGGAGAAGGGTGTGGTGATGGGGAGGGTGTCATGGACAGGGGAACAACTAGGGAAGTTGAACCAGCATCTAGGAGATGGTAGAGATCCTGTGAGTATCAGAGCAACACCAAGCTAGTGGAGAGGAAGCACTAAGAGGTGGAAGAAGGGGGAAGTGATGGCGGGGCAGGAGGGGGCAAAAGGAAAGAGAGGCAAGCTCTAGGAAGCAAAGGCATAGATAGGGAGATTAACAGAGGTGTGCACTTATG